GGGGGGGGTGAGCATATATATCTACATATATGTTATATAGTCGGGTGTCCTTACTATCGTAACCTGGTTTAAGTTCCTTGGCAGCAACCCCTTGCCTGGTAGGCGAGAGTCTCGGCCTCATTCTTCGCCTGCACAGTGTCCTGGCAGTCTCAGACTCGGGGGGCTTCTGGCCAAGCTCAGAGCGGCTCGGCTCCGTAGAGGCGATAGCAGTTAGAATAGGGGTTTGGGGCCCGTGGGACTATAACTATAATTACAATAAGGAAACCCCCAACATAGTGTTGGTAATTATTTGGGCCCCTACATTATTTGGACCTCTAAACTTGAAGAGTCTACAACTGGAGGACAAGCTCAGCCCAGCAGTGCCGTAAAGACGACACATACAGCTGCGATCAAAGTCCAAGATCGGTGCATTGCCAGGCTAATGGAGCATGATAGAACTGCTTGCTGAAAACCCATGTCCCCCCCCCCAATACTTCCAGCTCTCGAGCCGGGGTAAGTCCCGGCCTAAGTCCTAGGCTTGGGGACATGTTGATGCGATGCTTACAAGAAGGGCCACGAGGGAAAGGACGATCGTTCGTCGGGCCTACAATGCCTACAGACCACCAAGCAATGATACACATATATAACTATCTAAGTATGTATATGCATTTACATATATATATATATAATTATATGAAGATGATGCCTTCTTCCTCTGGTCGGCTTCTCGCATCTGCTCGGCTTCTTGGACCATGCGTTCCACCTGATGCCACAGGCCGACACAAGCAGGATTCTGCTGTCCGCTCCATATGGGGGGGTTCCGAAAATAGGGGACCCTAATATAGTACCCCAAATAGTAGGATCCTTATTATAAGGACCCCAGAATAAGGTACCCCTAATTTTCTGAAACTCCCATATTATCGACTTTATGTGATTTCGGGTAAGCTCTTCTCAGCATCACCAAGGAGCTGATAAAGTCCACAAAGCGCTGCCTCAGGCACCTCTATAAAAACCCTCTCAAGAATCTTAGAGAGCCCGCTGTAAAAGCCGATAGAGGCTGCTTAAAGGACCTAGAACCCCGCGGAAACCCTATGGAAGCGCTACAAACAAAACCGTAAGGAATCCTTTTTCTAAACCCCCCCCCCGTCGAAGATCCAGAAAATCCCAAAACAACCCTAACCCTAAACCCGGCGGTGACCTCGGAGTCGGAGAGTCCGCCGCTGGACCGGATGGTAATGGCCTGCAAAAGCCACTGCAAGGGGAGGCTTCAGGGTCTAGGGTTTCGGGTTTCGGGTTTAGGGTTCCGGGTTTGCGAGTTTAGGGTTTAGGGTTTAGGGTTTAGGGGTTCAGGGTTTTCGAGTTTAGGGTTTAGGGTTTCGGCTCTCACACTCGCACAATGCAGGCGAGGCTTCTGGTCCTAAGTCGGCAAAGTGAGGGTTTAGAACGATTTAGGGTTCAGGGTTTCGGGTTTAGGGGGGATAAAGGGGCTTTTCGTCAGGCGTAAGGATTTCTTTAACTGCCTGGATTAATAAGCTTTAGGGATGTTTAAGCGCTTTTGGGTCTGGCGCCTAAGCATGTTTAGGGATTAGCCGCCTGGCGGCTGCCCAAGTCGCACTGCAGGGATGGGTTTTAGTTAGGGTTTACGTGTGTTTAGGTCTTCTGGACTGGTAAGGCTCCCATCCAGATGACTAAACCCCGGAAGAATGGGTGCAACCCGAGTCCGAGACACAGAGGTCAGGACCGGCCTGTTTCTTGCCCGTTCCCTTGTCGGAAGCACTGACATTCACAATGCCGTTCGCATCGATATCAAAGGCCACCTCTCCACGGGCCGAGACTGATTGGGATGCCAGGCGAAGGGCGCCCAAAACCCTCAAACGTGAAATCTGAAACCTGTCCACCCCTCGCTGCTACAAACAGCCTCCGACTGAAACCCCAGAAACACCCTCCACAACATCCACGAGAAGGATCCCGCCTAAGCAAGCAACCAAGCATGTGACCAACCTACCTTCATCATTAGAGGAGGGTTTTGGGGTGGGAGGTTCTTGTTCGGAAGCTTAAGTGGGCATTACCTAGTATCATGTTCTAGGATCCTTCCGGGGATATATATATATATATATACCCTAAACCCTAAACCCCTACACCCCTAGACCCTAAGATATAAGATCAACACCTCAGGACGCCTGGCCTCGATCTGGGGCACCCCCCGAGGTGCTGGGGGGATCCCGACCAGGTCGAACCTCACGGAACTTCTGGGTTGCTTGGGGCCCCTTTTTTTCGGATTTCCATGGATTTTGTCGCATTGAGTGCTTTAGGGCTTGGGATTTAGGGGTTTAGGGTGTAGGGTTTAGGCCGGTTTAGGTTTAAGCGATGTTTAAGGTTTGCGGCGTGAGGCCGTCGACGGGTCCTGGTCGTGCCAACCTTGACGACATGTCAGTCAGTGCTGGTGTGACAGCTAAACCTCGGAAGCTCGCCTCTACCCTTTTCAGCACGGAATGAGGTGCCGGCCAGCGCCCTAACCCTAAACCCTCAATCTCATCAGCTCGCTGACGGCAACTGCAATCGCAGGTTTTGTGTTGGGCGTCATCAAAGATTTGAAACTGGCCGGATGTCCCTGATTTCTTCCAGTCAGCAGATTCCGGATCGCCACCAGAACTCTTAATGTACTGTTGATAGCACAGTATTTGCTGCTACACACAAAATGTGTAGCATCACTACTATTAACATATTCCTGTCGCTGCTCTCTCTGTGACTTCTCTCGGTGTCCTTCTTGCGTGACGCAATCAGCAAGTTGCAATATCTTGGCCATGCGGCTGCCCCAACATCTGGTTGTCTGCCGCCATCTCACGCTCGCCCTGGAAGACTTTGATGCCCACCTGTCACCGCGCCAGGGGCTTTGCAGCAGGGGCCGGAGTTCTCTTAAACACTCGCACGGCCGTTTAAGACAGGAATGAAAATTCGGATTCATGCAGGCTGCCCCTGTGTTATCGCAAAGACTTAACCAGCTTAACCCAAACCACGACGATATCAGCTGCCCCGTCTTGAGCCTCACGATACCTTGTTTAGGCAACCCACAAACTCCGTTTTCACTGTGAAATCTCCGCATCTCGGGCGTGCCAGCGGTCGTGTCACGCGTGCCGGCGCCAGGGATCCGGGACATACTGTGGTCCCGGCGTGTTGCTGTAGAAAGTGGGCGGCTGCTGGGGCTGCCTGAATGAACGTCCACAGCCACTGACGAAGCAGAGAACCAGGATTCCGATGATCGGTGTGCCGAGGAAAAGGTAGAAGTTGGTCCAGACAGTTGCTACATCATGGGCCAAGTCCTTGTTGTACCAATCTTCGAAAACCTGATTTTGCATACTTTGCGACATCCTGGTTCCTGTACTGGATCGCGACAAGCATTGCCTGGGTTCTTGTCCAGGAACTTACTTTAAGGTATCTTGGCTCCCGCATAGCAACGTCCGAAAACTCCAGGTGGCAGGTAACTAGTGAACTACGCTTTCCAAAAGATCCAAGGCTCCGGGACACAACTCAACAAATCTTCACTCCACTCCACAGACCAAAACCTAAACCCAAACCCGCACTTAGCTTAAGTTACCTAATACAGGTCTGCAGTCGATAATAGGGTTTCCGTAATATGGTACCTGGATTATACTAAGTCATGAAGTTCCTTAACAAGAGCCCAGCTGCAACAAGTGCTTTCGAGAGTTGGCTTTGTGAACCATGGGAACGCGGGTGAACAGGCAGACATAGCGGCAGTGTTTCTCGGCGGCTTGGTTCTCCTTCAAGGCGCAGCGCGTGGCTTCGTCCGAGTGGACCTTCATTTCCCCATGTATGAACAACCATAATGATAGTTTATCATAATACTAATGATAATAATCATAAAAATAATAACAAGAACATAATACCACAGAAAACACCAATGATGATGATGATGACGATGACACGGATACCAGCAAAACTATTTATGACAATGATGCGACCTTCCAAAGCTCGATGTTCTTCTGCTTGATGTGCACGAAGCCCTCGTCCAGAACCGACTCCAGGCTTCTCAGGGCACCGCGGTGCGCATCGGTATCTTGGAGCTCACGACCCTGCTCCTGGGTTCGTTGTTACGGAACATACTGTAAGCCACCATAATAAGAAAATATAAGAAAGCCATGTTATTTCCTAGTTGTTATTTACTAAAGATCCCAAAAATCTGGTAACTTAGTCTCAGTTCCTAAAAAAAAAAAGAAAGAGCCCAGGGCTCATCCAACATCTCCCGAATGCTCGCCGCCAGCTGCCGGTGCTCCGCGGCGAGGTCCGACTCCGAGGAGGGCATGGCTAAGTTGGTCTTACCTTCGCTGCGCAGGGATCGAAGAGCATCCCGAGGCTTTTCCGCTTCAAAACCGTAGCTTCGATGACTTGACTTCGGGCTAAAGCGTACCCCTGAAGTGTACATAAAACGAGCTCCCAGTCGCGGCAAGTGGCGTGTCTTGTAGGAGCTGACGCAGCGCTCTAAGGCTGCCCGGAAGTGTGCACTGAGCCTCTGGTCGTTGGCTGCGGTGAAACGAGTCATCCGGTTTTCGTAGGTCTCTGTCTGCACCAGAGCCTTATGGGTTTTGTGATGGCTGAGCAGCTTCATCCATTTGTGTCCGGCCAGTTTGTCATCAAAGGCCTGCCAGCAGCGCAATTGCACTATGGACTGCAGCTCTTTAAGTTGCGACTTGCCCAACAGCTTGTTGCCCACCAGCTTCAGCTCACGGTCAACTGCCTCATCAGCAGCCGCCACCGCTGCTTTGAAATGCTGCAATATTTCCCGCTCGTTCTCCAGCTCACGGGCACCCAGCATTGTGTGCAAGTCTACACTAAGCTGGCTCGCCGGGTCCTGCGCAAAGGCCGGCATAGAGGCTGCCTTGCCGTGAACTGGATTTTGCCCCCGCGCTGCGAAGACCTGAAGCTTCGTACTGAAACCAGCCACCGTCTTCCGGATACCCTCCTCCCCGGTCTTCCGGAAGAGATCCGGATCAAAAGGAAGCTCGCGCGCCGTTAGTGACCGGCCGAAGGATTCCTTTTCCTTGACTATGGCCTCGTTGGTCCATCGCTGTATTCGCTCGTGGTAGAGGAGGAGCTTGTGCTGAAAGTGCACGGCCATTCGTTTGCGGAGCTCAGGAATGTCCGGGCTTACATCGAAGTCTCGCAGAAGCTCCATGTAGAACTGAACTGACCTGGTCCTTGCCTCCTCCACCTGAGGGCTTGCTTGCTCTTCAGGGCTCCTCTTTCGGGCTTCCTTAAATGAAGGCGTTTGGGTTTAGGGTTTAGGGTCCTAGATTCGGAAAACTCGCACCTTGTCGTTGAAGTCTCGCAGTGGAATAGGGTCTTCGCTCTGGTCGATGCTCGACATGAGCGACGAAAACCAAGTATCCGCATCCTGCAAAGACATCTCTGCAACCTGCCTGGGCACTGGGAACACATTGAATTGCAGAGGTTTCTGTTTGTACGGGGCTGTTACGTCCAAACAGCTTCTTTGGTGTTCTACATTCTACAGGCGCCTCATCAGCATAAAAAGCTGCCCAAAGAAAGCTTTGTGTTCCACACCCCCTCTCGCTCCCTCTTGACCAGTTGCTGTGTCCAAGTCGTCCAGAGGGATGGCAACTCGTGGAACATGCCGCGCTGCAGACCCTGCACAATGAAGCGCAGCGACCTTTCCAAGGTGCGGCCCGTCATAGGCTCGCCCTCGAAGGACCGAGCTTGCAAGCTCCCCAGGACGTGCGTTTTCAACTCTCCGAGTTCCTTCTTGAATTCGGGCGTGAGCTGGGACCATTGGAGTTTCGATAAATCCTGCAGCTCTGGCTTGGAAGTCGCTGGCAAAAACAGTGTCTTCACCTTCACGTCGCTGTACAATTTTGAGAGAATGTGCACTTCGTCTCCTGAAGTATCATTGGCATAGGACAAGTACGACCTGAGCCAGGCGGTAGCCGGATCGGAAGAGTACGCATGCGCCTCCGGGAACTCCTGCACAAAGTCCTCTACCACCCATGTCAACGGAGGGAAGCTTCTCACGCTGAGGAATTCGGGCGTGTCGAGATTCGCTGGTTCGGTAGATGTTCGGGTTCGAAAAAGCTGCGCCCGACGGGCCAGCATCTCCAGGAGGTTCACTGCCTGTTGGTCGATGATCTTCACGGTATTGTAGACCAGGTGCCCACCGAGAAGTGTTGCTATCGTAAAGATCTTGGCATCGTAGCTTTCAGCCACACCTGGGCCGAAAAAGCCCTCGGAGTCCATGAGCCACACCTCCGACCCGTCACGCGCTTTCCATTCTGTGCGACACATCCAGATGCCCATTGTCTCCGGGGATGTCTTTCGACCGACGGAAAAGACCTGGGTGTCACCCAAGAGCGCGTTCAGCAAGAAGCTCTTCCCGGAGTGGAAAGGGCCGACGACTGACACGATGGAAATGCTGCTCGGATGCTGTGCTAGCCTTGCCAACCCCTCTGGGACAGGCAGCATTGAAGAATGATTCGCAGTCGGCCTCACCACTTGAAAGGGAACTTTGAAAGGGACCTCTGATGTGCACAGCCGTACCAGCAACAAGGCTGACAGCCATCGACCTCCCTGCAACACCATCTTGTCGGCCCCTAAAATGCAAAAATTGAAAACTGCATGACTTACCTTACGACGTTGGCTTACCATGGTACTGCCCACTTGCCCTGTCATTTCTACGCTTTGTCTGCTTCATCCGAGTTTGGGCCCAGGCTTCTCGACCCCTGCTCACTTGTTCGCAGAGGTTTCGGCAGACATCACTTCAGCCAGACTGACCCTATGCACTTCCGACATTCACCGACTTGCTGCGATTATGACAACTGCTTCGTCAGCGAGGTCCAGGGTGGGCTCGATAGGAGAAAGCCCGATCCCACGTTCGGCCGGGGAGCCTGTGTCTGGTTGTCAGCGGCGGTGGAAAAGACCTGCGACTTCTTCGTCGGGATCGTCCTGAGCGGAGTCAGATGTTCTCGGTTGGCTTGTAACGGAGGAGCTCTTTTTTTTTGAAACGCCCTGGGCCTGAGCCTGCACCATGATCGTCGTAGCACGGCAGCCTGATCCCTCAACCTGCGCTCAAGTCCTCTCCTTCTGAGGACCCGGCGTATTCCTGTTGATAAGACGGGTGAAGACCCCTCCCAGGGTCTCGATGCCCAGGGACAGCGGCGTCACGTCCTTAACCACTTCGGACTCTTCGATATGATTAAGAGCCCTTTTAGGATCCGGGCCACAAACATCCCAAACTTCAGCCTGAGATCAACACCGAAGATCCCGGCACACCACCGCCCGAGTTCCGCCACCCCTTCCTGTGCTCTGCGGTGCTTCCCTGCTATCATCGCCGGCAGAAACTATGGAAAACCAAACCCCTAGCTACTAGGATCCTTCTTTACCAACGATGCCTGAATAACGAGGCGCGTCACACTTACAAGAAACCCAAGCCATACAGCAAAGTCCGGCACGGCTGGGCCCCGAGCCAGCAGAAGCACATCCTTCACGTCGCCCTTCAAGACACCAGCCTGCACAAGCGTGCCCAGATCCAGATAGAAAGCCAAGCAAACTTGGCCTATCCCACCCTGCACCCCCCCGAACCACCCCCTTCTTGCCTGGATGGCCGCACCCATGGCAACTGCCTCGTCGGGGTTCACTGCCTTCGAGGGATCCTTTCCTCGGCCATTCTTCACCCATGTCCGTTTGTTACAGGTTTGGGGGGTTTGGGGCTTGATTGACTCAGACTCTCTGGAGCCACACTCAGCAAAGAACACTGTCTCTAGGGTTTAGGGTTCAAGACGAAGGCTGATTAGGGCCTTGAGGGTTTTGAGGGTGTTCTTGCTTTGGGGGGGTTGAGGGGCTTTGGGGTCTGGGCTTTCGGATTTTGGGCTTCATCGCTTCGGAGCTTTGGAGCTTCGGGCTGCGAGGTTTCAGGGGTTAGGGTTTAAGTAATAGGGTTTAGGGTTACTAGCGTTTGGGATTTAGGAAGGAATAGGAATTAGGGTTTAGGAGATTTATCGGAGATTTAGGGTTTTTAAAAGAACAGAGTTTCGGGTTAGGCTGACATGACATAGCAACTACTCAAGCGGAGCGGGATCTGTCACTGCTGACGAAATCTGGAAAAGCTGCGGTACACCACAGCCTCGAAAAGCTAGACTGCTTTAGGGTTTAGGGTTTAGGGTTCAGATTATAGGGTTCAGTTAGCCTCATAGCCTGGCGTTCTGAACGCCGCTGAAAGACTTGTTGGTGCTTTCCCCCAAAGAGGCCTTGAAAAGCACGGGATAATGCGAAAGTTCTGACTTCGGCGGTGGAGGGCTCCTGTGTCACATAAAGACTGGATCAGCCCTCACCATTACCCATTGTCCTGTTCACCTCAAGTCATATAGCCTTTCCACCTCCTTCGAGCCATACCCACAAAACAGGAAAGAAAAAAGCTCGGCCCTGTGCCATAAATCGATCGCACCAGCTCGGTGACCTGCAATCAAGAACTATGTTCCTAGAGAGCCCTTTACTTAAGGAATATAAGGAAGCATTTACGAACCTTGAATCAAAATAGTATGTTCATATGATGAAGGCGGTATTTGGCTCCTTGAGGCCCCTGAAGCCAAGAGGTAAGTCTCAGCTGGGTGGAGGATAGCAAGGAATTCGATGCTTCAAGCAGCTTCCGAGAGCGCCTTGGGCATGCGGGTCATGCCTCCGACCAAGAGAACCTCATTGATCCTGGCAATTCGGGCCGAAGTCTAGAACGTAGGGGCCTTAATAATTAGAATAAGGTTGTGGGGGTTCCTTGTTATAATTCTAGTATAATATACCCCAAACCCTTTTCTAATTATTCAGGCTCCTTTATTGTGGCAGAACATGTTTCGTCAGGCTCCCTGTGGCCGAGGGTTGCCTGTTCATGCTCACATCATGCACTCCCCCTCGCCGTGTGACAAACAGCTGTATCAAGACACTTGCGCAGGGCCGGTTGACGAGAATAGGGGTCCTTTTGAAGGGTTCCTTATAAGGGATACTATAAGGGATACTAGAAGGGTGTAGGATGGGAGGCCATTAGAGCATCCGTTGAATCTCGCAACAGGCAGAAGCACAATGCCCATGGAGTGGTCCAAAAGCCTAATGTAGGGGCCTGAATAATCAGAAGAGGGTTTTGGGCTCCTTTATAGTATACATAATAATATAAGGAGCTCTATGGCAATTGTTTAGGCCTCTGTATTGGTCCCTTTTTTACACAGGCTTGATTGGAGCTCGCCCGGCCAATGTCCCTGCATTGGTCCCTAAACCCTAAACCGGGTGTTGGGTGCTTCTCTTTGCTGCAGGCCTGAGAGGAATCTCAACAATTGTGCCTAAATGGTTACCAATACCTCCTCCTCCTCCCTTATAGTATCCCTTACAGTCACCCTGATAAGGAACCCTTCAAAAGAAAACCTGTTTTAATTACTAAGACCCCTCTATTACTTGGAATCGGCCCTTCGGCAAACACAAAAACCCCAGGGGCACCAAACCAGAAGATCAAGAATGCATTTAGGAATTCGAGGCTTTATAGGAGCTCCGTCTGTAGGAAACCTTCTAGAGAACCGCCTTCAAAAAGCTACATGGGAAGAAGCACCCCTAGCAATCGTAACCCCCGAGATCTCTTTTCAAATCCAAAACATCAAACCTAGCAGTGAAAAACTTCAAAAATCTCTCTGCGTAGCCACGAACCGGCTGAGATCCCAACTCGTCGGGCTTCACGCCGGCATCCTCGCGGATGGATGGACGGGGGGACCTCATCCGGTCATCCGGGCCTCGTTTCTGAAGGTGGTTTTTGGCCTCCTGAAGATGGTTTTTGCAGCTTTATGTGACTATGGTTTTTACGGGGTTTGCAAACCCTAAACCATCCTAAACCCTAAACCCCTTCGCAACAGGCTTTCCACTTAACCCTAAATTTGGGGGTTTCCGAAAATAGGGGACCCAAATATAGTACCCTAAATAATAGGATCCTTATTATAAGGACCCCAAAATAAGGTAACCCCTATTCTTGGAAAGTCCTAAATCCCAAACCACCGGCCAAGCCACCGGCCGCGCCTTGTTGCAGGCCTCGCACGGGGCTTTGGTCCGCGTCAGCAGAGGATCGACGAGCTGCTCGAGCCTGGACCTTCCCCGCTTCGCATCTGGGTTCCGTTTATTTTTTGTTTGGGTTTTTTTCGGATAAGGGTTTAGGGGTTTAGGAGTTTAGGGTTAAGGGGTTTAGGAGTTTAGGGTTAAGGGGTTTAGGAGTTTAGGGTTTTGGGTTTTCGGTGTTGGGTTTAGTATCGGTTTTCTGCCATCTCGGGTTTAGGCTTTCGGATTGAGGGGCTTCTTTTACAAGCAAGCAAGGGTTTAGGGCCTAGTGTGGCTAGGGTTAGTGGAAGCTTCTGAATGTGAGGGTTCCGTTCTGTTCTTTGACGGGGAAGTACCCTGATGATCATGATCTTTCTGTCATGCTGTGTTTGGTGTTTCATTAGGGCCCTCATTTTGTGAGAACCTTCAAACACATTGCTCATGACATGCACTCTTTTCGTAGCATGACTAAGACTCAGGCAGGCAAACAGCAAGAAAGGCAAGACCAATAAGCATCAGGCTACGATCCGCGAGCGAAACTTATGAGCAATGGCAAAACTCGCAAAATCATGCACACAACATTGGCAAGTTGGCCGTATTGCTAAAACGAACGGTATGGTGTGAGTGTCAAATCCCCGTAGGATGAGCAGTATTGTGTAGTTATTCGCCGAGTCCATCGCAAACGTAATCTATCGTAGTAATCTTCATTACAGCAGAACGAGAGCAAGAATATGAAATGGCGAATCATGTCACTTCTTGGAGGAAACACCCCTTCGCAACATGGGCGGGGACATCAGCATCACCATATATCTTGACAGTGGGTCCTTGCGCTGCCCCACAAACCGAAAAACCACTGAGCTTGCTGTCCAAGACTGTTAGTAGAAGGAGTTCGGTGAAGCTGACAAGCAGGATTTTCTCTTGTCTGCTGCGGGGCCAGCTTTGGCTACAGAGCTTATGGAACCGTTTGGGGGGCATGACAGCACCCGGACCCTTTCAAAGGTCCTACATCAGCGAACTCCCTGGCGGCTCTTGCTCGGGCTCCGACCGGGAGACCTGGATGTTCAGGTGCTTCGGGCCCGACTGATCGGCAGTGATGAAGGGAAGGTTCACATCCGTCCTTGTGGGCAGTTTTCTAAAATAGGGTCCCGTTTAGGGTCCGTTTTATAAAGGTGCCGTACTATGTTGGGGACGCAAAAAGGGACCCTAATCTAGAGAACTACCCTTGTACTGTTTCCAGAGTTGTCAGGCTGTGGGATCGCAAAAGAAACGGCCTAGACTTTCATCGCCTTGGCGCAGATGCATCTCCACTCCCACAATGCGGACATGTGCTGCTTCTTCATATGTACAGCCGATTAATCACACCCTTGACGTGGCGACCTGATTAATTTAATATAGGGGCCTAAATGATTACCAATATTATTTGGGGGGTTCCTTATTATAAATACAGCGTAATGGGCCCCAAAACCCTATGCTAATTATTGGGGCTCCTATATTACGTCATCCTGGCTCCGTATCCCACAGACCGAGGAGGAGTCGGAAAGGAGTTCTTCATCCCGTGACTTTTCTGCTTGCTTGTCCAGCTTCTTGGCGGCTTGGGGGCCCTAAACCCTAAACCCTAAACTCTGCATTATGTTCAGACTGCATGGAGATCATGATGGCCCCAGCAACGTTAACACTAAACCCTAAACCCTAAACCCTAAACCCTAAGCCCTAAACCCTAAACCCTAAACCCTAAACCCTAACACTAAACCCTAAACCCTAAACCGTAATTTCCGCTGCTGCGAGGTGTTAGCTCTTGCCCAAGCGATTTCTGGCCCAGGGTCCCCACCAGGATCGGTTTCCGCGGGCTTTTTTTAAATCCTACCTACTGGTAGTCCCAGCAGAGACAACCCAGAGAGTCCTATACCCCTTCTTAAAGGAATATACCTTAGATCATAATAGTAAGGCCCCGATAATTTAAGGTGAATTCCTTGTTTAAGGGGTATTGGGCTCGCTGAGAAGTCCGCACAGAAATCTATTGTAGCCTTTACGACATATCCGCGAAAGTAAGGTTCCTTGAACAAACGGGCGGGCCCACACAGAGAAGCTCTTCTTGCAAATTATCCCTGAATTGGCCTTTCTCTTCCTGGCAGCTTCAATCTTCGACTGGGCTCCAGGCTGTACTTTGCTGGACAACTCGATCTTGGCCTTTGGCGAGCAACGCTGGGGCCGTGGCCCGTATGTGGGGTGCGGGTCTTATAGGATTTCAGTCTTGTTGACGCTCCCACTCGGACTATGCCAGGCAAGATCTTCAGACTATACTAGCGCCGGTGCATGCTCTCGCAACTCGAAACCGGCCAGATGCCGGCTTAGTGCTTGGGGTTTAGGGTTTAGGGGGTTCACCTGCTTGGGGTGTCCAGGGCCTGTGCCTCTGCTACATAATCCAGCCTCTGCTGCAAGGCACACTCTCGTCTTTTGGAAGGAACGAACCCTACATCTTCTAAACGTGCGTCGTCGGTGGGTTGCGAGTCTATTCATCAAAAGCCTGCTGCGAGAATTCTACTGCTTGTGTTCT